TTATTTATTTATTTATTTAGGCCGTGTTGGGTCTTCGTTTCTGTGCGAGGGCTTTCCCTAGTTGCGGCAAGCGGGGGCCACTCTTCATCGTGGTGTGCGGGCCTCTTATTATCGCGGCCTCTCCCGTTGTGGAGCACAGGCTCCGGACGCGCAGGCTCAGCGGCCATGGCTCATGGGCCTAGTTGCTCCACGGCATGTGGGATCCCCCCGGACCGGGGCACGAACCCGTGTCCCCTGCATCGGCAGGTGGACTCTCAACCACTGCGCCACCAGGGAATTCCCCCTCTCCTCTCTTAATAGGTCTTTTCTCTCCCATAGGGCAGAGGCTTTTGTAGTGGTGTTTTCAATCTTGGGTCCCACATCATAAAGTCCAGGTGACATTTATGAGGTTCTAATCCCTGTTCTGTAATCTCAACTCACTTTATTACTCTTGCTTTGCCAACAGTCAAAGTTTTTGTTTCGGGGCTTCCCTGGTGGTGCAGTGGTTGAGAGTCCGCCTGCCAATGCAGGGGACGCGGGTTCGTGCCCCGGTCCGGGAATATCCCACATGCCGTGGAGCGGCTGGGCCCGTGAGCCATGGCCGCTGAGCCTGTGCGTCCGGAGCCTGTGCTCCGCAACGGGAGAGGCCACAACAGTGAGAGACCCGCATACCGCAAAAAAAAAAAAAGTTTTTGTTTGTTTGTTTGTTTTATGGTTCTTTTCTATGTGAAACTAACTACTGGCCACTTCCCATAATCATAGTCTTTCCCACCCCATCCTACCTGTAAAACTTGTTCACAACTTTACTTAGTTGTTTCTCTCCCGCTTCCTTCATGCTCAGTTTAATACTGTCCTGGCACGCTGACACAGCAGGTGGGAATACCACCTCCACATCTGTCAAAATGTCAAGTGTGTTGTACCCTTTGACCCTTCCATTCCACTTCAATATCCTCACACATTTACAAATTTATTCACAATAGCATTATTTGTAAGGGCAAACACTTGGAAACAACTTAAATGTCCACCCAAGAGAGAACTGGTTAAATAAATGAGGGCATATTCAGAGCATAAAATAATATATGAACATAAACATGAATGAGAAAGTTTTTTTAATGTACTTGATATGAAACAAGCTCTATGACTGCTCAATTAAAAAAAAGAAAGGTCTAGAATAATGTGTATCTGTGCAAATATGAGGGAAAGAATTTATCCATATAAATTTGCTTGTCCATGCATAAGATAACTCTGAAGGATACAAAACAAACTGACAACATTGGTGTCTGACTGCTGGCTGGGGAAGGAGAGGTTTTGCTGCATATACCTTTTTGAACTCTTAATTTCTGAATTGTTGGAGTGTATTTCCTATACAAACAAAAATGAGTAAACAAAATAAAGAATAATAAAACTCTAAGTTAGGCCAGCTGTTCTCTGAGCAAACACAATCTTCCCAGCCTTTGCTCTGTACTCCAGGTTCATCATTCCCATTGCAACAGTTCAGAAAGCAGAATCCCTCCCTTCCAAGGTCCCACCCATAGGAAGAAAGGAAGCAGGACACCTGTGCTGTAAGACATTCCATTTTCTGCCAGCAAATCCTAGAGCTCGTTTCCAGTTCTCTTCAGGCTTATGTATATCCCTGATCAATTGGGCTGACTTCATTTCCAAGCACATGCTGGATCCCTGTTCCCCTCTAGAAAGGCTGCTCTGCTACTACACGCAGAACCCTTTGGATCTCACAAAGGGATCCAGCTGCAGGCCTCCCTGCATCCCCAGTGCTTAGGGAAGCCAGATGCCCTTCTCCAAGGAAGATCTCTCCAAGGGACATGCCTTTGATAGGTGGGCCACCCCGAGGTTTTCCTTTGCCTCTGGATCTCTTTCTTTCATGTGCCATCCTCCTAACTGTGGTATTTACTTTCCATGTTGGTCACTTTTCCTGCAGTCCTGCTTTTCAGGAGTGAACCCAATTGGTCCAATCTTGGGTCTCCTGAAATGGTCCAGAACCACTGCGAAAGGCTCAGGAGAAAAGGTACAGTAAACAGGAAATCCAGTATTCACCCACGTCTCATAAGGGTCACCACGGACTCCTGAGCGAGGCTGGCTATCAGGATTGTCTCCATTTAACAAGAAACCTACACCTCAAAGTCCTTGGGTTTATAGACAAACATTTGTAATCACTTCCACAGCTGACTACAGGGCGGCAGGATACCTGCTTAGGATAAAGCCTGAGCTACACAGAGAAAGTTTATTTCAGATCTGGCTACCTCAGAAAAGTCCTGCCTCTTTTAAACCACAAGCAATCAGGCTTTAGGCTAAGCACATTCACTGGAAAAACAGCAGCAGTGTAGGATGGGAAGCAACATTCCCTTTATTCATACAACTACAACCTTGATGACCCCAGCCAGCCAAACATCTCCCTCAAAATAAGCAGCTCCACCACGCACATGACAGCAGTGCAGCTAGCTTCAGCAGCCCTCTCCATGGTTGTAAGCCTAGGGTGCTCCAGATAGTCACAAACAGTGGTAGAGAGTCTGAGCATACCAGTAAAGATTATGTTTAATGACAAGAATGAGAATGTTGCTTCAGGTCATATGGCCGTTGTTCCCTGATTATCGCAAGTTTGAACAGCCTGAAAAACTCCTCCACGTGGAAACCTAATGTTTGTACTAGCAACTGGGAAGGGCTGTTATCGGGTAGGACTGAGGCCAGCAGCTCAGGGTCTATGGTGCCTCATGCACGAATAGTCTAATGGAAAACAAAAGCAAAAATTCAGATTGAAAAATAATCCTTCAGAAAAGAAAAAATAAAGCAAACAGTAGAATGACTGCCTTAGCTGTGCTTGGCCCAGAAGTGGGAGCTCCCCTTCCTTCCCTAGAAAGGAACTGAGCTGCTCCAGCTCGGTACTAACTCAGCATTCTGCCATCATGGACTGACTCTCACGCCCACACACACCCATGTGTGGGCCCATGTCCCCTACAGTGACTGGTTCAGAACCAGGCACGTGACCCAAATTGGCCCACTGATATGCAATCCTGGGGTTTTGCTGGAATCTTTGAGAAAGAGAGAATCTCTCTCTCTGCAGAGGTTGCCAGGCTAGTAGGATCTAAAGCTGCTGATGGCCATCTTTGTCACCACATACAGAGAGCATTCCTGAGAATAAGGCTAAAACAGAACCAAATGAGACACTAAGCCTAATTTCTAACAACACGGTAAAGCCGGCTGGATCTAGTGGTATCAGCTTTTTAAACCCTAGACTATTCCAGTTGTGTGACCTAATAACCCTCTCCCTCTTTCCTTTCTTTCTTTTCCTTGTTTCCCTCGCTCCCTCCCTCCCTCCCTCCCTTCCTTGGTTTTGAGTTGTCTCTACCACTCTAAGCCTTCTTACAGAGTTTATTCAATTCTGCCCCCAAGCCTGAATGTATATCCCCATGTGATCACACATTTTGAAACACTGGTAAAATAATTCTAAACCTGTAGAAAATCTAATTGCTTCTCCCTGAACATTTAAGAAGCACAGTCTATTTAACTAACACTTCACACAGATAAGCTTTGACTCTGCGTGAACGTAGAAGTCAATAATGTAGCTAGGTCGACATTTACATTTCTCGCATGCTTAAAAACACAATCAGTAAGTAACTGATAAAAGCTAGTTATCCAGCACTATGCTAAGGACTACACATATACATTATCTCATTCCTTCCTCGGAACAACTGAGCAAACAGGAAGTACTACTATCTCCGTTTTACAGAAGAAGAAATAGAGGTTTGGGAGGTTAAATTACTTGCCTAAGATCACAAACCTACTGAGTAGCTGAGTTTGGATTCCAGCCAAGAGGTCTGATTCAAAAGCCTGCATTCTTAATCACTAGAAGATAGCGTCCTCAGCTTAATGGAGATAAATTTTCTTTTGGCAACTATACTTCTCACTAATGAGCATGTTCTCAAAAGCAACGCAAGGAATATGCCCCACATATTAGAAGTGTCTCAATCACCGGTGTTTACCCAGTAAACACAGAAATGTGCCAGGTTTCCGGGCATGATGGTGTTGGCGCTTAACTGAATGGAACAATGTCCACCTTTAGATGTTAGAGATGCCTGAATGGAAGAGAGGATGCCAGATCCTATGACAGAGACTTAACTTTGGTGATTTTTTTTTCGACTTCATCACACAGTTACCCATTTTACAGATAAAGAAATTGAAGTTCAGAGAGATTAAGTAGTTAACTTGCTGAAGTTCAAAGAGCTATTAAGCACTTAGGTCAGTAATTGAGCCAAGGTGTTTCTAAACCTAAAGGCTATTCTTTCCACAGCTCACAATGCACAGTGTACAAATATAGGGAACTTGTAGGTAGAGGCACACAGAAGGTGGTTATCTAAGGTTAAAATGGACTGTTCTGAGCTCTGAGCCTAGAATTTATCCAAAACATTTATCCAAAATAAGAGTCTGGCATGCTCTACTCAATGGCATATGGAGCCTGAGAAAACAAAAACAAAAACGAGATACAGGAAAACATTCTAAGGGAAAGCCTGTGCATGGGCTCACCCATAGGAGCCATCAGGAGGAAAGAAACACATAATCTAAGGGTTGCATCTGGGTCTGTGAAATGCATATCAAAGAATGTCTCTAGACTCCACGAACAACGATGCTGGCTTACTGAGCAGCTGACTTCATCCCAATACGCGGTCATTACCTTGGCTCTCACAGAAGACATCTTGGTCTCTCCAAGTCTTGTCTGATCCTTCCCCCACTACTGCTTCCCTTTCCATCCTTGTCAGCAGCTTGAGGGAGGATACAGCCTTAGAGCCAAAACTGGGTGGTTTGGGCATTGCTGAAATCTGCAGCCACAGCAAAACCTGATAACTTGGTATTAACAGATCATTGTGTCTCTGGTGCATAGATGTTTCTGGCACCCAGTGGCTGCCAGGCTTGGGGTTGACCAGATGGCCCGAAGCCACATGAGGCTAGCTTCTCCTCATCTGAGCTTTGGACAGTATGGGTACCCCTAGAAGGTGATGTGTCACACTCACCTCTGCTTTTTTCTGCTTCTCTTCCTGCTCTCTCTGCTCCTTCTCCATGCCTACCAGCTTGAGCTTCAGCTCAGACACTTCAGTCATCAGATCGAGCTTCTGAGTCTCAAGAGATGTACGACTTAGCAGCTCCTGCAGGCAAAAACAGATCTCAAAATCATAAACCTCCATGGCAATAAGAACAACTCTACCTCCATCCATAGGACATAAGGCAATCTCTACATTGTATGATGAAACCGCTACATCTGAGCCACAGTCCCATAGGGGACAGGCCTGGGCTGATGCTGGGTCACTCAAGGGTAGCACGGCCCGATGCTACCCACTGTGCTCTGGGAGTCAATGTGAGCTACATTTCTCAAAAAGCACATTTGTCCATAGAAACCATTATTCACTCTTTCCAGGTGGAGAGAAACGGATGGGTCTGCTCAACGAATGAAATTTCTCCATGTCTATTTTTAAGGCAAAGCAGCAGATCCTCTCCACCAAAACAAACAAAAGACCAGCTTAGGTTAACATTACATTTTTCAAAACCAAAGTTTCCATATCACCTCCTGGGCTCAGTCAATATTCAGCCCAGTCTTCCACACATGTCATTGGAAGACCTTACTGCAAGGAACCTAGAAGGGAGCTAGGATATAAAGTAGATATTCAATGAGTATTTATTGAATGGTTACAGTAGAATCTTATTTATGTGATATGTATCTTTCCTAGAATGTAAATAAGAAAATTGTTCTTTGCTTATTTTGAGGACAGACTGGGGAGGTTATTAGTAGTCCTGCCAAGCCTAAAACAGTGCCATTAATATATACACTTAATAAGCATAAGTAAGACAAAACAAAGGTGATAGGTGAAATACCTGCTCAGCACTACTAGGAATTATAAAGGACCTCAAAAGCCAGGAGCACTTCCCAAAGTCCAGGGGTAACATTTCTCCACTGGCAAAAGGCGATGTTGTGTGAGATCCCAAATCTTGGCACCTGGAGACATTGGATACACAGGTCCTGGCAAGGAGACCACAATATGATGCTAGGAGGGTAACCGGCCAAATGAGCTGATGGAAAGGACACAGCATCCTGCCATGGTCTGAAATTTCCTTATCATCTTAGGCAACCCAACCCTAGTACAACAACAGTCATCTCAACAATCTGACCCTACAGCCATGATTTCACGTTCTGAACTGTCCTCAACTCATAAAACCAAGCCGCATGAGTCAGAGATTTTAACTTGGAAAACATGACTCCCTGGGCAAAAGGCCATCAGTACCTCAGAAAGGTGGGCTACAAACTGTCCATCTGCTAACCTGAGGGAGAGCATCCAGAAGCCAAGGAATTCAGCAAAATGAGCTTAGTACTGGGCTGAGGAGCCCAGCTCTTCCTGGGCCAGCCAGACTTGAAGCTGGCTTACAGGGCAAAGGCAGCAGCAGTGCCATGCCAGAACTGCGGGCTGCTTGGTCATGAGCACTTAGCCAGCTAACTATGTCCAGTGTTGGGACTGGGGGTGGGTGGGCATAGATGCGCTGAGTGCCTCCTCTGTGCTAGACACTGTTGGGTACTTTACATACATCCTCTCAATAAACCCTCCCAGGGATTTGGCAGTCAACATTACTATCCCTATTTTACAGATGAAGAACCGGGCCCAGAGACTGGCCTGTCTTGGCCAAGGGCACACACCAATCAACAGCAGAGTTAGTTTTAAAACCAAAGTCTGTTTGGCTTCAAAACTCATTTCTGTTTAATGTATCACATTGTTTCCCAAACAGAGAAAGAAGTCCAAGAATTTCAAGGGAAATAAAAAAATACATGCTGGGGCTTCCCTGGTGGCGCAGTGGTTGAGAGTCCACCTGCCGATGCAGGGGACACGGGTTCGTGCCCCGGTTTGGGAAGATCCCACAGGCCGCGGAGCGGCTGGGCCCGTGAGCCATGGCCGCTGAGCCTGCGCGTCCGGAGCCTGTGCTCCGCAATGGGAGAGGCCACAACAGTGAGAGGCCCGCATACCAAAAAAAAAAAAAAAAAAAAAGTGTTGAAAAAAGCCAATCAACAAATATTCACTGAGCCCAGGAAAGAGCTGCTCAAACTGTTAAGAATTTGTTGAACACATACTATCTACTAGGGCCCTGGTGCCAAGGCTATGCAGGCCATAAAAGGCCCAAAAATGTTCTTCCCTGGGTGAGGAAGATGGGATTTCTAGGTCTTGAGTATCTTAAGATATAATCCTTCCTAATGCCGCCTGCTCGTTATGAACATCCTTCTCCCTCTTCCCCACCTTCCCCTTTGCCTCCACCACCTCATTCTTTCTCTCCATCCTTTCAATTAGGTGTTTTGTTCCAGAAATGATTTGAGGTAGTTTGCAAAATAGACAACTCAAGTTAAAAAATAGGGCTTCCCTGGTGGCGCAGTGGTTGCGAGTCCGCCTGCCGATGCAGGGGACACGGGTTCGTGCCCCAAGTCCGGGAGGGTCTGGGCCCGTGAGCCATGGCCACTGAGCCTGAGCGTCCGGAGCCTGTGCTCCGCAACGGGAGAGGCCACAACAGTAAGAGGCCCGCGTACCGCAAATAAATAAATAAATCGTAAAAATTAAAGCGGGTAAGGAAAGAAGTTGAAGCCAGAGTGACTGTCGGCATAAAACTCATACCCTAAAGTTCTATTCACAGCTGGAGATGGAGTACAATGTGTATGTGAGCTTCCCAGCCAGCAGTGCAAAGGGAAAAAGGGACGATTCTAGAACTCAAGGTCCACGGGATAATAACAATTGCTTTGGACTGCTAAGAACTCAGAAAATCTTCTTCCATGAGACTTCCATCATTTGTTCAACTACCAGATGCCAAGGCCTAGGGATAGGAGAGTTAAAAGTACAGCCCCTGTTGAGCTCCTGAGTCTCTTAAAAAGGTATTTAATGCAGTTGTCTACTGACCAGCATTCAAGATACTGCCTCGGTGGGATGTAAAAATGCCTCAGAAGGCATCTCTCTTGGAAGCTAAGAATCTGCTCTGCTTTCATGATTTCCAGAATCCCTCTGGCTGTTTTAACTGCCAGGTTGTAACTGGTCATACCAATGTTCCAGTTAATGAGGATAATATTCTAATTGGTTGCATTAAAATTCCAATGGCCATTCCAATTGGTCATGCCAGGGTTCTGATTGGTCACACTAACATTCCAAGTGGACATTTCAATTAGACACACCAAAGTTTTAATGAGAAGCCTGGGGCTGCTTAATTTCACAGAGTCCACTGATAACAAAACTTCTCCTTACTGTCTCCTAGATTCTATTAGCATGTGCTTCCCCCTTTCATTATCATCACCCCTGGTCCTTGTCATCAATAAGTACTGTCCTACTCCCTGAACTCAAAATCAGCCTTTGACAGCCTTATCCCAGCCCAGCCCCACTTCCCCATCTCCAGGCCCGGCATGGCCTCCAGCCACTGTTATGTACTGTGACCTCTATCCTAGTTGTCTTAATAGGATTTAAATACCCTACATTCTAAACTGCTCTTTCTACTTCCAGCAGAAACCGAACCCTGACGTTTGCATGACATGACACGTCCCTCCCAGTCCTCTCAAGTAGAGGCCGTTCTGCTCCAGCAACCCAACTTACAGAACACCTTTCTCCCAGTTAAACACTGCTTCTTCCAGATCTCCTACCTCTGCCCTCCTCCTCCTTTAAGGCAGCACCACTCAGTTAAGTCACGTTTTCCCCAAATACCCAGACCCCAAGATAGTCTCCCATTTCCACTGATTATCCTTGTTAATCAATCTTTCACTCAGGGCTCACCCTGGTTTCACATTTCTTGACCTTGACACCGACAGGCTTTGCTTCCACCTCAGTTCAGCTTCTCAGTAGTATGGCCACAGCCTGACCCTCGTCTTGATCCGGAACCTGTGTCCTTCACTTCTAAAATCTTCACCTCTGACATTCTCTCCTCTGGCCACAATCCTTTCCAACTGGCCCATTTAGTCACTCAAATCATCTTCAATTTCTTCTTCTGTGGCTACTAGTTACTTAACAACTCCCTATTTTCCTAGTTTACCAACTTCCTTTAAGTAGTATTTGCCTCCTTACCCACCCTTAAGGCTTATCATTTCTGCATCAGAAAATTCTTCCTGACTCATCCTTGCCCCTAGATCTGAAGTGTACTTGCTTCACCAGCACCCACTCCATGCCAAACCTCAAAGACTTCTGTCTATGTTTCCACTCCCCACGGCCTGAGAATTGCTGGTAAGAGTCACTTAATGATGCCAATTGGTTTCCACACAAATTTACGCTATCTAATTACAGCTGATCTTCCAACACTGCCTGGCAAAACTTGTATTCATCTCTGGCTGGTTCCTTTCAGAGATTGTTCCAGATCTTTTCCGTTCTCCTCGAGCCCTAAGCCCCACCATATCCCCTTCTTCTCCTTAAATAACCTATTTACTGAAAAGATCATCTTATCAGTCACTGAACTTACATCCTTCCTATTTCAAAGTTTCCCAGAATCGTCTCTCATTCCTCTCTCTTGAATCCGTGTCTTACAGAAGGCAAGCCCGCACCTCCTTTCCGAGGTTAGTCTGACATAACTGCACACAGCCGACTTCTCTGTTCTTCTAGCTTTAAAAACTGTTTCTAGCCCAATAAGTTTCCAGGTTGCACATTAAAAGCACATGTTAAAGGACACAAAGATTCCAGAGTTTGCTGCTGAGTTACTCCACCTGACCCACCTTCCTGTTGCCGACCAGTCCTCCATGCCATCCTCATGCAGCTTGAATGAAGATTCAGGTAACTCCCTGGTTAACCAGTAGCTTTTGGCTTTGTTCTCCGAGTCCTGGTCCTGTTTCTCCCTCTAGCCGGTAGTGCGGAACGGAACGCCGCCTGCTCACAGGGACCTGGGCCCTCCCTCCCCTCTGTACTGCCTTTGAGGAAGTTCTCACCAAGTCTACACTACTCTGGGGTAGGCCCATTAATCAACTGCTCTGACAGGCATTTAATCTCTCCCTCACCATCAGCTTCCATCCCTCAGGCTATAAACATGATCAAATTTCTGACATTGGAAAGAACCTTCCCTCTTGACCTTCCTTCCCCTCCAGGGACCACCATCAGCTCCCTACTGCTCAGGCTAGGCAAACGCACTCTGAGTGTGGTGTGAGCGTGAACGCCAG